TAAACCAGAAAGGCAATAAAAGGAAGACTAATTAAAAAACACAGTATTGATAGAGCATTGCAACATTAAGTATTCAGTTTCTACAAGAGCACTGCAAAGGAGTAAGTATTCTCAATCTTACTTTATAGGGATGGAAAAGAAAGTGGATAGAGACTATAATTATTTTATCTTGGCATGCAGTACATCAGGGTAGATGTTGTACCTCAGGACCCCTCAGTTTATAGGTCTATTCTCCAAATAACAGAAATCCATTATTCAAACCAAATTCGCATTTGTTTCCCAAAAATTAAATTCCAAGGGCTTCTGTGGGGGCACAGAAAGTCTGTGAAAGGTGGTTCATATTATTTTATATTAATATATCTTACTCAATATAAGGGCAAAGCTGATGACTGCCACTGGAAAATAACACTGATGTAACGTGGCATTTCAGAAATAAGCACAGTGGACATGAGAACCACTTAAACACACACTTTTCCTGACAGTTACTACACAACAATAGGAGAAGATAAAGGGAAAGCAGGAGAGAGGAAAAAAAACCTCACAGACAGGTAGGAAAAGTCAGAGGGATGAAATGGAGTCCATCACTGTCAGAACTGCATCACTGAAGTACGAGTTTTTGTCTAATGGAACACTGAAACATTTCAGCTGTAGCTTTTTTAAAAAATGAGTTCCTCTTTTGCTATGGCATTAATTGTTTCTGTTACCCCAGCCATGTTGATGACCATTTATCACCAGCACATTACTGTCATGTTCAACACAGAAAATGAATGTTAACCATCACTCAGTACTGTCACGGCAGCATATCTCAGAAAAAAAAAAAAAAGAGAGAAATAATACAGCTCTCTTTCTTGTAGAAGTTGAATGACTAGTGGGGAAAAAAGTCTTTGAAAAAATTACAGGACACTCTTCTTGAGCAGGCTCATCTCACTAAGGCATCCCCTGGCAAACGAACAACAGCTCATCCAGAAAAAAAGGATGCACTGGTAAAGCACCACATCCTCTGTAGGCCAGGTAATTACAGATAAAGTCTTCTCAATAAGGCTGATGCTGAAGTTCTCAAACACAGAGGCCACAGATCTCTCTGACAGCACACTGTCTCACTGCAACAGAGACATTCCGCCACCTCTCGTCCAGTCCACGCATCCCAGCCACCCTACCAGCGTCACAGCCCATCTCTTACTGCACCGTCATCTGCAGCAAGCCCTCAGCACCCCTCCTCTGCACCCAGATTCCTGCTCTCACTGGGGCTTGGGGAAGGGAGGCAAGCCCACAGAGCAGTGAGGACCAGCCCAGATAATTTCTCTGTGCACCCTGGAGCCTCCAGGACTAGTTTCCAAGTCGGTTTCATCTCCATTACTACATGCCCCTCAAAGAATGAAGGATTTTATTTTTAAAAAGGACAATTTGCAGACACCTTCTTCGCAAATACCCATTACTCTATTTTAGAAGGTGGATCAGAACCACAAAAAATTGTGAAAAAAAGTATGGAAATTGCTGCAAAATTGAGTAACTTGCTTAAATGAACTGTGCGTGTAAAGTCTTTAGTAAGCAAAATCACCTTTTAACTACTTGGCAAATACAAATTAAAAAATATTTGCAGAAACACAGATTAGCCATCCACATATATCCCACATAGCTGTGAACACTGAAAAATGCAAACATAAAACTGCCGAGACTTTGCTAGACCTTATGACTTCTTTTCTCTATTAGACCGTAACTGTACCGTGCAGTCAGGCAGATGGGTGAGTAATGAACAGTAATTTGACCTGTTATAATTCCATTCGCAGGGGGAAAAAAAAAAATCAATTTAGGAATAGTAGTAAACTGTAGAACTGCACTTACTCTGGAGCAGATTTTTAAAAGGCATTGAGATAGATTTATTTCCCACTATTGCTCAGGCACGTGTATCAATCTGCATATGAATATATGTACACAAAAATTCAATACATGATACTTTAAAATATGCATTTGCTTAAAATAACATGTACTCTTACAGTCACATACATTGGGGCTTTTTTCCACGTGTACATAAAGCACTTCAAAGCTGACTGCATAAAGTTAAGCTCTTTCCTATTTCAACACCTAATCAAACAGCTCCATTTTCAGAAGGCTTGTGGATGTAGCAACTCCAAATTCTGGATAATTTATCAGGTATCTAAACACTCATTCAGGATCCTAACTTTCAATGCTCAATGTAAAAAAAAAAAAAAGCTTTGTTCATGTTTACTTTCTTAGTAATACAGCCATACAACTTTCTTTCGCAACATTCTATCCTCACTAAATTTACAATATTTTATTTTTATTTTCAAGAGTGAGAGGTTACACTGTCATTTCATTGCAGTTAAGATCTAAAAATCTTTTCAGTCTTGGCCTAGACTCCATTTTAGTGCAAACTTAAGCCAGCTTGGAAATAATTATATATTTCTGAAAATAAATTCTACAATACATACCAGTTCACAAAATTTCTGGCCTGTATTTTCTATAAACTATTATTCTTCAGAATATTCATATTTGCTAATTATTAAATTACAGGCACATTAAATTGATTTGTCTCTTTTGCCAACTTCACTTTTGTTATAAAGACATCATACAAAAGATCTCAACTCCCACTGACCTTTCCATGGCCACAACGTAATCCATTTTGTAAGGAATCAACACAACAGCTGCCCCACAACTCTTTCAGTGTAAACAAAGGGCACACAGCATTCTGTGGAATTACTCAAAGGTGAGGCTTGTTCATTAGGACTTTGCAAAGACAGGCAATGCCACATCTTTTGTTACTGCATTCTTTACTCATGAGAGAATGATCAGTGCCCAATCTAAAGCCTACCCGAAATCAGTAAAAAATTCCCATGCGTTAGTGGTATTTGACTCAAATCCTGTTTAAAGATGGTTCATGTATTTCCCGTGTTATAACTCTTCAGGTATGTGAGAGTGCAATCACCCACAGAACCATCATCTTCATTTCATCATCGTTTGCCTGTCAACCTACTAAATCCTAGAAATCCACTAAAGCCAGCTTTCCCTTAAAAACCCTTTTGCAGTACAGTGAACCCGTTCATTGGGCATTGATTCATTATCAAAATGCAGTGCAAGATAGATACTGGTTCTTCTCTATGATGTCTTAGCCTCAGTAGTTGATTAATGTTTCAATCTGTTTCAATACCAACAGATGTTTAAGAACACGCTGGAGAGAGAGGAAAATCCAGCATTCCTAAAAACAGGATTACAGTCCACAGGAGTTGCTTTCACCTATCCTTCCAAAGTAAAAGGTAAGATGCATCATCAAGAAGACTGAAGTGAACAGATGTCACAATAACGTCTTGAGAAATCCCATCTTTCACAAAGAAGCCATGAAGCGATGTATTTTTATTGTAATTGCCAAAGACAGCTCACTGCAAGTACCGGGTCAAATGGTGAAGAAAGTAATACAAAGGATTAATTTCATATCAGCAGAATCAAAGTGATCATTCACCTAAAGAAACTGACATCCTAACTGAAAAAAAAAAAAAAAAAAAAAAGCTTTTTGTTCTGTTTTCTGTAAGCCACTAAGTGCAGTGGATACCTGCGTATTCACAGCCTGGCTTACTTTACAATGACTGAGCTCGAAACAACTCACATCATGTGCGATTCAGCAAGAGGAAAGGAGAATGACAAAACCAGCAACAAGATACTTTCATACACTGGCTACTTAGTCATGTAATTCTGAGACAGTTATTGCAGACACACACAACGACCTGAAAAAGACATTAACTAACCTTCTTGAAGCAACTTTTTATTTGCAAATTTCTCTTTAAAGTACAACATAATTTACTTTGTATTCTAATTAGATTTCATAGGGGATCAATAAGAGGAAACAAAATTAGTATTAGCTTTATTGGCTTAAGGCAATTTTTTAGTTACTTTTAAATCCATACCAATGGGTCATTAGCAAGGTTCAGACAACCCTGTAGAGGAAAACACTTTTTCCCTTCTCTTGCTATGAGGCTGACTGACACTGCACAAAACTGTATCCGCTCAAACTGAACATCTGCTTTGCACAAAGCAAGAGCAGTGTCATTAATAATGCAGGTTGGCTTTATCACGGGCAAAGAACAGTCAGTGGTCCTATCCTTTGATCCAGGCACATCCCCTAACGTGGTCTTTGTGCCTCGGCAAATGCATGCTCTATTGACAGGAGTTATGCAATAATCAATCATTTCAATTAAGCACTTTTTACACCTTTTCTTCTCAAACCTTGCAATAGCTTGTATGAATGAACAATCAGATGGTAAAATGGTAACACATTTAAAAAACAAAATGTAGATGAAATGTAGCAGGTTTTTTTTCTACTTTTAACGAGCAGACTAAAATAGAGAAAGATGTAAGGCAGCTTTTCTATTCCATTGAAAAAAGTAACTTACTACAGCTTTATTTACTACCTTGTAATTAGATGTTAAAATTAATCACTACGAAGAATCACAACAGCAAGTATTTTGACATTAAATTTCAATCGCTCTTGCCCTCACAGAAGTATTGTGATTGAATGAAAGGACCGCTCCACTAGAAAAGCAGACAAATTATACCTGCAAGATAGTTTAGTTTTCAGAGTCTCTACAATATCAGGCAACTTATGTGCCACTGGTATTTATTGGTTTCCAGACAAACAATGGAGATAACGCAGCACAGCGACTGACTGCTGTGGTCACTGTTAAGGAAAGCACAAAAATAAATTTTGTGGACTCTGTACTGATTTTGAAGTACATTAAGCAACATTTGAATTCTCAGCCACACTCTGCATATGGTGCCTGCTCTGCTTCCATTAAAGAAACGCTAGAACTCCTCTATTTCAGTGAGAGCAGGGTCAAGCCAAACTTCTTTGTGCTTTCACTCCAAACTCAACTATCTATTTCAAGTGCACTGAAAATTATTTCCAAAACTACAAAGCCCCTCAATTTAAGGTTTTTTTGGTGTTAAACACAATGGGGTCTAATTAGTTAGACAAAGAACGATCCACTCACCTTTCTTAAATTTATGTACAGGAAGTTTCTTAAGCTGATCCTTCCTAAGCCGATTCCTTCTTGCTCTGTGTCTGTCTTGCACAAATTTTGTGATCTGGAAACAGACATAAATAAAACACCATGAACAGTAAGTTAAAAGAACAACAAAAGTTTTGATTTATGAGTCTTCACAGTACATTAGTCAAAAGGGAACCCCAGCTCAAACTGAATCACTCTACCCTTGCCTGGACTCGAGGATGAAGCCAAACAAGCCTGAAGGATGTTCTTGATGACCACAGCACTTGAAATTGAGAATACACAGGCGCTTTTTGGAAAGGTAAAAGGAAAAACAAAAAGTTATGTCCACATATATAAAAGAATGGCCACTGCTGCAATCCTCTACCAAGGCTCATATACAGCGGAATGGTACATTTCAGAGAAAAACACAATTCATTAAGTTTGACTGGTTTTGCTTGCAGTTTTAGATTATTACAACTCTTTTAGAGGATTATTGCCATGTTGATCAGAAATGTTTTCATAGTATCTAGATGTAGTTTGGAGAAGAGTAAAGGGGTTCCTTCAAGCCACAGTTACTTGCTGTCTTTAGCTATACTAAAGATTGTGTTTCCATTTTCTTGAGTCCCTAATGCTATTTCTGTTCAGATTCTAGTTCTAGCATCTGTGATATGGCATTCTTTTTCAAATATGATGACAAACGAACAAAAAATGGCCTTAACCAAAGCACACACACTACCAAGTCTATTGAAATTTGCAGAGGTGCTCTACAGCTACCTACACTGTGGATAAGGTAAACACAGAGAGTACTAATATTATAAACAACATTAGTAACTCCTACTTAAGGAATCCCTGAAAGGCACTGATATACTTCACAACAGATTATTTTTTTAAAAGTATGACTGTGTGTATATTATGGATAAGTATCATTAGGACCATATATATAAAATATATAATTTTCTCCTGATTCCTGTCTAGTTTTTCTCTACAGCATGATTCTACAACATGGAAGGAACCATTCATGGTAGCACTGACTACCTATTGACACTGACAGAAGAGAAATCCACACCTCTCAAAGTCTTTGCTTTTTTATCTGGGACACATTTGGAAAAATAAATTTTTAATCAGTTTATAGACATGTCCTTTTTTACATTTCCATTTATTTCCCCTTCTCATGGCTAATCCTACCTAGCATCTGTTTATTCCTTTTGGATTGTACAGATGGTTCTTCCCTAGATATTTTACTTGGAACCTGGAACTCAAATTCACACATTAAGTAAAAATTGTTTTAATTTAGAGTACTGGCATGCATACAAGAACTAGCCCTTAAAGGGCAAATTTAAAAGAATAGGTATCTATGAAATACAGCATACTGAAACTGGACGTGATGAAGAAAGTTTCTATGATGCAGGTGGCAAGACATTGGAACAGTGCCTCATCATTGGAAGTGTTCAAGGTCAGGTCGGATGGGGCTCTCAGTAACCTCATCTAGTGGAAGGCATCCTGCAGATGGCAGGGGGGTTGAATGAGATGACTTTTTAGAGGTCCCTTCCAGCCCAAACCATTCACTGATTCTATGGCTTTTGCCAAGACAACTCACTTATGCCCTAAAGACAAACACTTCACAAATTTGTTTAGCTTACTCCTGTAACATCTGTAATGCCACTTTTGATGCAGAAAACTGCTGTTTTCATAGTGAGGGAAAAATCTGCAATTCTAAGGAGAGGTGGTTTTTCAGAGGGATTAGCCTTGTGTTTGTTGCATAACTCCAGCTTCTTGCTGAAGTGATTGGTGCAAATTAGTCTGCAATTTAGTTCATTTCTTGACCTGCAGATGACAGCACTTAAGTCCATCGGGAATTTTTGCAACTAACTTAACATCTAAAACCAAAAGCAACTGAACTAGTGAAAGACTCTGAAGCAAAATTTGAAGACACATCCTGAGAGTAAAAAACATCTCTTATTTCCGAATTTCCACAGTTGTGGTCATGATAAATGTTAAGCTCATGCTCCTCATGATTACAGTTTTCATGAGTTCCTTCCTCCTTCCAAAGTTTTCTCTTCAAGGGTAACCTTCTAAATCACTCTTTAAATAAGAGGCCCCCCTAAGTACTCTTATTGTCTTTCTCTTCATTCCCTAATCAGTATCTTTCTGAAAAATGACAGATCTCTGCTTCACACCATATTTTGATAGGATGCAAAGCCAGTACTTACGATTTTCAAAATGATACCACAGTTCCTTTCACAGCCTTCCTCATTCCATTTCTTAGATAACCAGTACATTGTCTGAATTTTCAACTTAGGTGCACTAGAAGCAGATTATTAGTGAAGCTCAAGTTGGAACATCAATAGTCTTAGAACAACAGACGTTCACAGAATATTATCCCTGGTGACTGCTCTCCTTTAGAAATACCATCTCCCCTTACCTCAAACTGCTGACCTTCAGGGTACAACGATAAGGCTACATGTTCACCTAATTAACTGAGACAAAGTCCTCTATGATCAAGGTTATCACCCAAAGGTCAAAGCATTAGTGGATTTTACATCCTCTCTAGTTGATCACTTCTGCTTTGTTTTCAGAGAGCTGCTGCAATTATGATTGTGCCAGATGTGCCCAGGATCGTCCATGAAATAACTAACTTGCAGTGCAAAAAACACTAACACAGAAAGAAATATTTTAAGAAAACGTTACAGAACAGTTGATGCTAAGCATTCTGAAATAATACATAGCTATGCTATTTTACCTTTTATAGGAGACACGTGCCCAAGTGAGAACCTCTACAGGTAACGGTAACGTACATGCTGTAAGATATATGCTAGATGCTGTAACAAGCTCTGAGCTTGCTGACTGACTACTAACTACACCTGCAGTACAAAACGGTGAGACCTGCACTGTGGAACCGTGGGACTAATTTTTACGAAGCAGGACAAGTTTGGTGAGGTGGGACATACTCTCACTGTACAAGAGCACAAGGACAGGTCATTCCTTATGGGGAAAGAAAGCGCTTGTGCACTGGAAGCGCAGCAGTGAGGACAATTCTTTTTAAGTAGGATGTTCTACCTGGAATATAACTAAGGGCCCCGATATCCTTTTGCCAAGATTCTGCACCTGTTTATTGTACTGAGTAAATAAAGGATTACAGGTATGTACAGCACACAAAGTTTTCACCATTCCTTTACTGTTCCTTTCCCTTCATTTAACTTCTGAAAGCGACAGTTCTATGATGATCTGTTTGATACAAAAAAATGTTATTAAAAGAAGGAACTTACCATAAATATGACGATGAGAATAAGACAGATCCCTACGATTATTAGGAAAGGGATTAAATAGTACTCCAAAGGAAGACTGAACTCTGGGATTAACACAACATGGCCACTGTGGGGACAAAAAGATAACACTCTCTAAATAGGTTAGAAATTAATGAACAATTAAAGAATAAATGCAATTAAAAAAAAGGTTATCACTAGACACACTAAAGAAATACCTAGCTGTGCACAACAACATAGATCAAGAGCTAAACACATATGTTTAATGCCTTATGAAAGTGAAAGGAGTAACATTTGATAAATACATGGCAACCCTCTTGCAGGAAAGAAGTTTATATTCATTTTTTAAATGCCTTCTGCCCATTACTCTCAGGTTCAAGGTTTTACCTTGAATTCCTACAGCCTCTGTCATCACAACATCCTATTTTAAATCTATGAATATTAAAAAGAGGCAACAATGTAATGCAAGGAATAACACAGCTGCGCATGAGGTAACTTACCCCTTTTCGTACGTGAATTCTTCTTTAAGAGAATTAGCTGACGTCTCGCCAATGAAGACAGAAGGAATGTCAATCTTCTTTAAAATCTCAACTGTATAAAAAAAGCAGGAAAATAAAATATTTTACACAGACACTCTATGGGCACTTTTAAGACATAAGACTTAAACATTATGAGACTATCACAATGGGAGGACATGTTTTATCATAATGGCAAATAGCCTGATGCATATGCATGCTACATCTTCACATCATATAAGAAGTGGTATTATTTTTCCTACTGAATAACTAGGGACTTTATTGCAGCTATAGAAATCAAAGTTCTTAACGGAATATTTAAAGGGAGCATAAAACCAAAATATTTTTACACAAAGAGGCATCAGAGGAAGTTTAACCAGGACATCATTCTTACTCAGAGACTTGATAAAGTCACACAGCTCCATTGATTTCCAGAATTTTTGGCAGCTTATATGATTTTGTGGTCTGGTACTGTAAATTTTAATTAATCTTTCTTCCCTCCTTTTCATCCTAAACATGAATGAACACACTGGAAACAGCTGTGGCTAGAAAAGGTCAAAAAGAAGAAAGAAGAGAATGAACAAATCCCACATCTTTACTTCAGCCTCAAGAAACTGGATGCAACTGTCTCTCCCTGTTTTCCAGTCAGCGAGAACTTCACGAGCTTGCCACAACTTCTCAAACATGATGGATAGCAGCTTAGCAACTTCATCTGCGAGTTCCCTCAGGACCTGTGGTTGCATCTCATCAGGTCCCATGGACTTCTGCACCTTCAGTTTACTGAGATGGTCTTGAACCTGATCTTCTCCTACAGCAGATGGTTCTTCACTCTCCCATTCCCTGCCTTTGCCTTCTGTGACTTGGGCGGTGTGGCCTGAGCACTTGCCAGTGAAGACTGAGGCAAAAAAACTCGAGTACCTCAGCCTTCTCCATATCCGTATTCACCAGGTCTCCCGTTTCCTTCTGGAGAGGGCTCACGCTTTCCTGAGTCTTCCTTTTATCACCAATGTACCTATAGAAGCTCTTCTTGTTGTCCTTGACATCCCTGGCCAGATTCAATTCTCAGGGCTTTAGCTTTCCTAACCTGATCCCTGGCTATTCGGACAGCTTCTCCGTATTCCCCCCAGGCTACCTGTCCTTACTTCCCTCTGTAGGCTTTCTTTTTGTTTGCTTTCTCATTTATGTTCTTTTCCATATTGAGCAAGCTCAAAAACTGGACAAGATACAGAAATGTCACACAAAGTTGTAACAGCACTGTAGACAAAAAACACATACCATAAAACAAACCCAACATTTTAGGTAGATTACAAGATGTTCTGAACATTGTGACTCCATGAAAGGTTAAAATCAGAACAGCTAGCATCAGGATCAATCAGAAAATGGCACACTGCTCTCTAAACGTTCTTTTTCCAACTGAAAAAGTGAAAATTTGTACATATAATATGTATTCATATGAAATTAGAATCCATTTGCCCAAAGGACAGAAAAAAGTACACAACAGTGCAACAACAAAATGGAAGCACTAACAAATACTAAAAAGTCATATTTTAAAGTTTGCTTTCCTTCCAAAAGTGTAGTTTTTTTACTTTTCCTATATTTCTACTTAATTAACAACACATCAGCTATTTTCCACATCAGTCATAAAAATCTCTCAAATTTAAACATTTAACCCAGAACAGTTGAACTATAATTTAAAGGAAAAACAAAAAAAAAGCACTCAGATAAAGTACAAGCTTAATTCCACAAATAATTCACAAGTATACACATACATTCTCATACAAACATCTCCCATTTTAAAATGCTAAAAGCAGCAGAATTTCTGGTTCAGGTGGGCTCTTCTGTGGTTTTTGGTGGTGGTGGTGGCTTTGCTGTTTTAGTTTTTAGGGTTTTTTTTTTTTAAGTGAGAGTTCATCATAATACTTTATACTGATTTTAATACTGTATAACCGTATACTCCAGTGGGCGAAATGATTTTCAAACAGGAGAGAAGAAGTGATACCTGTACTTACTGTCGTTGGATCCCATGCTTATGAGGTCATCAGAATCAACATTGTGAACTATAGCTGCCTTATATCCAGCTCTCTGTGCATTTAAAACCTGTAAGCCACACAAAGTACTTATTAGAAAGACTACTGCTTCAAAATATAGTACCCTGTCTGTCCTAAGACAAGGTACACTTTCAGGAAGCTATAAATATTACCAGAACTTCATTTGCACTTATAAAACTAATATCACCTTTCAAAATAAAATCATATTATTACTCTTGCACTTCTGTAATTATGTTATTTTTCTAGAAAAATCATTCAATATTGTCTGTAGACAGTTAAGTTTTTACATATATTAAAAAAAAGATTACAAACTTCCTATGGGTAGATAAAAATAATATTTAACCATAATGGAAAATAAAGGTACTCACTCTGGTAAACTAGAAATTACCACTTGACAGCTCATGAAATCACATGAGTAGTATCTTTCTGTGCCTTTAGAGATGTGGAAATATCTTACCTGACAGCCCAGCTATCAGAAGCTTTCTCATGGAAAAGCAGAAAATTACAAATATGGGTTAAAAACTCCAAATCTATTGCCTACCAGTTACATTTCTGATACCTACTGGGTTTTTTGTCAATACAAGCAAAACCCAAGGTCCATGCAAAAGGCATCCACTGCAGTGAGTATCGCTACTGGAAACATACTTAAGTTACAGCTATTCACCACAGACATTACTTCTAATGCATCCACAATAGTATAAACACTCATCACAAGATGCCAAAAGCACTAGAGAAGCTTGAGGAACATTTGGGTTTTATCCCATATCCAACTCCTCTTTAAAACTAAGTAATAAGCTTGGCTATAGCTGGAAAGACTTGCTCTGAATTGAACTAGTATGCGACATGGTGACAGCTTTTATTTCCATTTAGATGCATGTATTTATTTAAGGAGACTGCAATACACATACATATTTTTATAACAGGCAAAGATACAACCACTAAATACAACTGACCGAAAGATCACAGCTTTAAATACCTTTGAAATTGGAAAACAGTTGCAGTATTTGCATATTATGGCATCACAACAGCTTTATTAACCAGTCAAACACCAACTACAGGACCACTCTTAAAAACAAACAAACATACACACAAACCAATCTTACGGAAACCTGTCCTACACTGATTCACCAGGAAATCACCACCATCTCTCTTTTACAGCAGGCTATCATCACCAGATCTGAAAAACCCAGGCAAAAATTCTGGTGCTTTTTTTCAGGACCTCTACCCTCAACACTAGGAGAGGGAAAAACTTATACACGTATATATATATACACACACACACATATATACACACATGCATACATACACATAGCCAAGAGACCTCAAGAGACAAATAAGAACAAGGAACTTGAGTTGTAAAGCTAGAAAAATTCCACTGATCACTCTAGAAAATGGTTCTCTATGTCAAGCTTGAAATATAAAGCCCTCTTGCATGCTGCACATCAGCAAAAATAGGCAAGAAAAATGGCATGCACATTTTAAATAAAACAGTCAAAAGTAAGGCAAGGAAAGGATTAAAGGCACTGAACATCTGGGTATCTGAGCTTGTAACACAGAAAGGCAGTACCAGAGTCATCACTGATAACACATCATGAATCACCAAGTGTTGAAACTGAATAAAGGAATACAAAAGTTCACAGAGATCTGAGCTTTAAGGCTCCCTGGCTATCACAGGTTCTTAATCTTCACATCCATGTAAATGTGCTATGGTTATTACTGACAGTTTCTATGCAGTATTAATGTTTTTTGATTGCTTGTTTTATTTCTTTAACATCATGTGCCAAAGAGGTGTTTAACAGCTGTCCATTATCCACTGACATGCACTGCAGGACAGGTACTAAACAGTTACATTATTTAAGGAAACATTTTAGTTCACTTTGCCACATAACATAGGGCCTGTGTTTAATTATTGGATTATAAAATGGTGGTGTTTGTGTAAAACCACACATAAATATGCCTACCAGGTATTTAGTTGACACAGAGTTGCTTGAGTAAAGAGTGACATCAGCACAAACACAACCAGGCACCCTCAGCACAAGCTGCCAACTCTTTACTGTTACATGGCTCAGAGAGCCATCAACTCAGATTCTCTCCCCACACCCCCAACAACTATATTCCAAACAGCAGAACCATGTTACTGGAAAACGCAGACACCCTGAGAAATCCCAATACTTAAAAAAAATCAGGCTTAGATGTAAACATAAATGCATGGCTGGGAGTTTGGCCAGTATGACATCGCTACAGAAAATATCCATAGCACATACACAAAAGGATGTAATGTTCAATAATGTATTTGCTAGCTTTTGTGACTAAAGAGGCAGTTTTAACATAGCGAGGTATCATTTACTTAAATTACATATCATCCCAGACCATTCTAATAAATCTTTCCATATGCAACACAATTTTACATGATGATTATTTTGCCAAACAATCCTTTTAGGTAGGCAGAAAATATGTGATCCTTCCTACATGCAGTCAACAACATATCTGAGAGTCACTGATGACCAGACCCTAAATGCAGGCTGGAGAAAGAAGTTCTGTAATTATGCAGGAGTTGAAAGCACAGCACCAGCCTCTCTTGACAAGTCACTTCCCACACTGGTCACCAACACAAGCAGAAGTAAAAATCAGCTGTAACAAGTGAGAAGCCACATTCCAAAAGGCACTGAACTGCTTCCACTTGCTTCCAGCCTTACCCTTCTCCTACTATGACATATTTTTTCCTGTAAGAAATCGCTAGATGTTAAGAGAGAGATGGAAGGAAAGAGGCTGGTTCTGGCCTAGCACAGATTCACACACAGTAACAAGAAGAAACAGCAATGCGCCTGTATTTGTAGTTTCCCCTGTAAAACAGGATAGACGGAACTTTAAAATAAACTGCAGTAAAAAAAACCCTGCAGTTTTTTAAAAAAAATCCGCATCCTGCCAGTCAAGCAGCTGGTATGTAATATAACTCACATCCCAGTGCACACGCCACTTCCTGGCAGAAACTTCTGGACAAAATGCCGCAGTATGTATGAAATTACACAATGTAATATTGCAATGCTATTAACAACAAAATATGAAAGTGAATTAGTACAGGGATACCCGTGCTCACCTTGGAACTTCTGATCCACTTTCTATCTTGCTTTTAGTATAACAAAGAAACACGTGGGCATCTACTTTTCCATGGATTTTACACGAAATACAAAACATAACCAAAAAATGCCTACACACAGAGCTAGAGTGAGCTAACCCTTAAGGAACTGACCATGGAAATCCCTCGATTATAACGTACCAAGCTTCCACTTTCTGCAAGGAACACTCATGGACTGTGTGTGGCAAATCAAAACGTGCAAAATTAAGAGTTTACATTTACTAAGTTGATAGCTATGCGGAAAAGCAATTCTGCATGTCTTCCCCCTGCTTAACTCTTTCCTTTAGCTGAGCAGCTTTCCAAAGCTTCTCAGAATCTCAGGGTTCTGTGATCAGCAAGAGATGTGATTTTTCCGGTTTAGCACCAGAGCAAAAAAGTTGAAGGCTCAGTCATAATGCTGACTTCAACAAAACAAGTTGTTTTCGGTGAACAAGCATTTGCTGTATTGCTGATTAAAAATGTATTCCACTAGAAAAATTATGACTTGTTACTTTAACTGTGTCTTCAGGAGTAATACTGTTCCATCAATTTAGGGACAGCAATTAAACAGGCAAAGAGGACGTGAAAAAGACAAGTAATCATTTGCCCTTCCTTGTCTTGCTAAACCTTATACACATGGGGTGACAGGATTCATGGTACAAAACACGGGACATTCCCGAGGTTGACGCGCAGTCAGACTACACGAGCAGTGAGGCTGCCTCTACAGCTGTAATCTACAGTCTGGGTAGAATTTACATGTGTAATCACAATACCACGTAACTGAACATAGCACACAGCAGCAAATACCATTGGATCTCCTTTTAGTTCATGAAAGTCAACAACAAATTGAAGAGCCCTTTTTCTTTAAGGCATCATCTGCTGCCCCATATATCAGGTTCGTTATCAAGAAAACCATGTATTCAAGTAAAACAAAAATGATCCTGATTTTTTTATTTTTAAAATAACTCGGAGAACACTCCACTTCAGCTGGAGGTCAAATTTTTATAGTATAAATACTTCATAAGATAGCATCTAGCTGTTGTACCCGTTAAAAACATTCCCATCCTGCCACTTGTGCCTGTTTCTGCCCAGCAGCACACTGTCTTCCTCTCCTCATCAACCAGCTGTGACACTACCACTGTTCATGGCATCTCAGTGTAAGCCACAAGATGATCGAGCTATTTAAAACAAAAACAGATCAGGAAAATGGCTTGCTGATTTTGGGTGCTTTTAGGTTACCTCCGTTTGCTAAGCTCCCCTGTGATCCCTGTCAGCACAGGGTCTGGTAAAGGAAAGCCAATACTGCTACTGAATGTTTTCTATTATAAACTGCAGCATCCGTCATCCTTATTTGCCACGTAAGCTGGTTCACAAACAGGTAATCTTAAACTAAATAATATTTCAATACTGTTCTATCTGCCTGTAGACAATAAAATTCTCCGTTCCCTTCACATCAGTATCTATCCTGCTGTTAGCTATAGATATTTTTCTGAAGCACCGGTAAATTTTATAAGACCTCAAAACAGAGAGGGGAAAAATAAAAATAATTTCAAAAAAATCTTACCTTGACATCGAAATTGCAGTCAAGCCTTCGAATTAACACAATAAAAGCACCAGAGGAGTTGTCTTTCAGTGGAGGTGGGGCTATAGGCTCACATGCATTCTCTGGTTTTGAATTTATTAGGAATCCCTAGAAAACAGGAACAGAAACAAGAGCTGCATTTCTCTTTGTCTTAACAAAAGGGTTGGCAGACAACTATAAGGAAAAAACTATAACTTTTCACATAATAGCTAAATAAATTCTTCTTATCAAGTCGGCCCCATATCACAGCAAGATTTCTGCTACAACCCTGACTATTTCTTTTGATTCATCAGAATCTTCATGTCTGTAAAGAATTAGAAAACTTGGAAAAACTGTATTTTCTTTCTATTACATCATCTGAAGTTCATAACTCAGACTTTGCAGTATAATTCAGCATGAAGAGGACTGCATATACTCCATTAATATGGTGGAACTATTATTCCCAAGGAGAGTAATCGGGAAAACAGAAGTCTCATAGCCTAAGCAGCACTAACACAATTAGTGCTTGGCACTAATCAGGGAAAACAGAAGAAAGTTAGGTGTATGTAATCAACACAGAACTGGCATACAAAACAGCTGCTTTACTGTGGTATGCAAAGACTATACATCATCAAATCTACCACAGCTGAAAGATTCACAGAAGTAGGAAACTCTGGCAATATCGATCCTGAAGCAAGCTTTGGGTTGGTTGTAGGTGACTGAGTTAGTACTTCACCACTGCACGGTTTGGAGCAGAAACTCTCCTAACTTCATGCTTTAGTATCTGCCAAAAAATACTCCAGCTTCTCTCAGAGGAAACACGCTCACCTGAATATTGACTGCGCTGACACTAGTCCCTCTCCAGGAGGTCGTGACTTCCTGGCTGAATTCTCCCTTGAACTTCCTTCCCTACTGCTGTAAACAGTCTGTAAACACTGCTGATACGCAAATTTATGCAAGACACATGCCAGAAGAGTCTCATGCACACTGCACAATACTATTTGTTCTACCTCTAAAGACATCAGACCTGCCCTTTTTCCTTCACTAGAATATGCTTGCTTCTTTGGTCAGACCTCTAGATCCCCTGAAGAGGAGCTTCTTTACTAATAAGATAAATATTATTTAGCTAGTTAATAATTAGATTGATATTAGTAAGATTCCCTTCTGGCAGTCTCTTCACAACATATTTTGATTACCAAGATACAGAAAAATCCAGACTGCACAGCTAGAGGAGGTTTTGTCTACCCTGCACTTGAAACACACCTCTTCAAAAAAATTACTTTCTTTAGAAGGTGTTTGTGCAGTAAGATGACAATGTGAGAGAGGCTCTTGGACTCTAATGCAATGGAGTATCAGTTGAAATAATATTATTCCTACAAGATTCACACTTGTTTAAATTGCTTTCAAAGCTAGAACAAATTATGACACAGATGAAGAGTGGTGAATTGCCAGAAAATAAGAATGTAAGTAATTTGTTTTACGTAAATAAAGATCATGAGAAGCTGCACTGCTGTGGGCTCAAGAAATTTTTGCTGCAGTTGTAGATATACCCTCAAGAGCTTTAAACTCTGTTTTCACTAACAGTTTTATCTATATAGATGTCATCACCTGTGCAGAAATAATAAGATATAAAAATATATAATTACATATAAGCATACAAATCAACTGACAGTTTAAATAAATAAAATATATGTAGTTTTATATATACACTTTATCTAGATAAACTGTCACTTTAAATGTTCTTTTTATATATAATCTTACATTTTATGCATAAATACCTATTATTGATAAAGTTTAACTTACAACAGAGAGAGGCAATTTTGTTTTCAGGAACAGATTTCGTAATGATAATATCCCTTTTGGCAGAAAAGCTGCACCAGCAATCTCCTATTTGCCAAGTTTGTGGAGACAGGCACAACATTACACAGTCTGTAACAAGGCCTGTATCTAGTGGAGTCCCCCAGG